GGGGGGGGGGAAAGGGCGCGCCCCCCCCCCCCCCCCCCCCCCCCCCCTCTGACTGCCCCCATGGTTTGAGTTCTACGGGATATATATTGACGCAAACACACAACGAAAACGATGAAAAACAATATGAAACAGGGCGGTCAGTGGGAGATGGCCATGTCCCTCTTCGACGAGCTCGTGGCGAGTGGCGACGAGTCCCTTCGCCCGGACCTGTACACGTACAACACCCTCATGACGGTTTTCAGCGACGCCGGGATGCTGCCGCGCGCGCTGGAGCTTCTCGAAGAGGCCAAGGCCAAGCGTCTGCGCCCTGATGTCGTCACGTACAGGTGAATAGATTGAAGAAATTGAGAGCAAGGAGGCGGCATGGCCGTGTCGTTACGGCAGTGACGATAACCCTTGTCGCCTTCGGGCAAGACACAAATCAAGGCATGCTTCATAGCCCGAACGAACGCGCTAGGGGTGCGCCTATCACGCGCTGGCAGGCAGGCAAGCAAGCAAGAGATGGCACGAACAGTGTCAAGCACACGCCTCGCCCCCAGTGAGATACCCGTAACAGCATGTCTGTGGGTCTATTTTTTGTGGTATATCGCCATGTCGAAGAACCGGTTTTCTGTGTCGGCACCGCTTCTAAGACCGTGCCGTGCGTTGATACAAGCACAAGCGTCCTGTTGATTCTCTGGTGCTATTGCCCACGGGCAACAAGACGACCGTGAGGCCGGTCCTTATTGTATGCTGTCTCTTGGTCTGCACATTGGTGTTTGCTGTCTCCTCCGATGGTTCGGTGTAACTTGCTGGCCCTCACACCCGCCGCGTATCTAAATTACGGCTAGCTACCCGTTCGATCACGAGCGGGGACGGGGTTTCTGTTGTCAAGGGCGCTTCTGCTTCTGCGTTAACTGTTGACAGCGTCGTTGGTGTTGCGTTTTGCCGCTGCTGTTCGTGGAAGGAGTGTTGACTCTTCCTCTCCACCTTCGTAACCCTTTCCTCCTGCCCCGGTCTGTCTCGCTCTCTCCCTCGCTCTCCCCTTCCCCCCCTCCCTCTTCTCTCTATGGCCCTCTCTCTCTCCCTCCCTCTCTCCCCCTATCTCCCTCTCGCTCTCCCTTTCTTGGTACAACAGCACCCTCATACGAGCGTGCGAACGGTCGATGCCTTCCCAGCCCGATGTTGCCCTCAAGCTCGTCTCGGACATGGAGGCCGAGGGGGTAAGACCGCGAGCGTATGCATACCACGCGGTAGAACTGGAAGGATTTGCTGCCGGAATACTCCAGGCTACACTCGGATATAATGGGAGGGGACTCCACAGCGTGGCGTGGTTGTATTTTGGTTGCTTCGCCGTGATGCGTTTGTTGTTGGCGTATACTCCACCGCGAAGGTAGCACGGAACGAAAGCATCGATTTTATGTCCACCCGACTGTCTCGATCCATCCACCACACACACGACCGCCGGTAGCATACCTCGTTTCGCAGAGATTTACTTTCGTGAACATGAAAGGATATATCACGCAAGCAGACTATCTATCTTCCCCACCCCCCTTGTGACAAAAAAAGGTACGCCCCAACAACACCACCTACGTCGGCGTCGCCATCAGCCTCGGCCGCTCGGCCCGCCCCCTGGAGTGCCTGGACCTGCTGAGATCCATGCACGGGAAGGGCACCCCGCCGGACGCCATCTGCTACCTGGCGGTCCTCAAGGTTCTCGACCGCTGGGACCTGGCGGAGGAGGCTTCGCTGCTCTTCGAGGAGATGGTGGAGACCATTGAGCAGATCGCTCTCATGCCCGGTGCGTGTGTGCTGCGAGCGTTACGTGCGTGCGTGCGTACATGTCTCTTTTACGCTTTCTCGGGTTGCCGTAGCTGTTTAAGGGGGGGGGCTCTGGTTGAATGTTTTGTTTCACTGGGAAGGGGGGGGTTGAGGTGTTCAGGTCATTCTTTGAGTGCGTCGTGGGCTTTTCTTGTTTTGGAATCGAGCGTTGATGGCTGGGAGGAGGTTGTTTTGGTGTGGTGTGGAGTCTGGGATAAGTTGGTGGGGTGTTTGTGTGTTTTTTCTGTGTTGGTTGCAGAACGAGGACATCTGTGCGACGGGTGTCTTCCCTGCGACAAGGGGTGAACGTCGGACGGCGCAACTTGTGAGTGTGAACGTGCTGCTGCATCCTCGACTTTTTCTCGCACGATGTCAAAGATAATTTGTTGTTTCATTTCTACGACCCCCTCGTTATTCTGACACGCCTCCTCCTCTCTTATCAACTCCGGCTTTTTTCGTCGCCGTAACAATGGACCGCTCGCAACAGCGATCGCCGAGGAGACTTACTGCTGCGGCATCCGCGCCTTAGAGAGGCTGGGGAAGTGGTCGGAAGCGGTGGCCCTCCTCGACCAGTGGAGACAAAAAGGCTCGTACGATGCAGACAACGATAGGATGGTACGTGCATGGTCTTTCTGGCGGGGCGGGGGGGGTGTCCATGCCCTGGGTGTTTTCTCGTCCTGCCAGGCGTACGCTCGTGAGGCTTTTGTGTGTAGTCGGCGCGTCCTCTCATGAACGGCAGTTGCTGCCTTATGGCCGGTGTTGTGCTGGGTGAGGATGGTGCGCTATCAATAGGACGCCGACAACGTAGGCTATGGTGCTTTATATCCACCATTTGGGGCTCAGCTATCTATGGAGTATGACCTGTCGAAATCAAGGGAAGCTTTGGCATGTTGTGAGATGTTTCGACACTCCAGACGAGACCGAGCCCCGTATACTGTACAGTCGAACCGTTATGCTCCACAAGGTTTGTTTCTCTGTTGTCGTTGTCCATCGCTTGGTATCCATTTAACCCGCCGAGTTATATCGCAATGTATCGAAGATAGAAATATAGCCCTTGAAGTATTTGAAATATTGTTGACCCTTGCACATTTTTGGTCGTCTTTTCGTCGGAACGGTGTGGAAACCATTGGGAGCGGATCGTCCACACGACATTGATTTGTTCTCTCGTGTTTTTTGCGTTTCGTGTGTGCTTCGTGTGTGGCGTGTTGCTTTCATCGTCCTTTCGTGTATTGCGATGTTTTTACATGTCTCCAGTGCGTCTGTTTTGTATACACACCATACGTCACTACTGTCGTTTGCTCGCTGTGTTTTTTGTTACCGTTTTCCAGTACGACCAGTGGTACAGGGCGCTCCGTCTACTGTCGACCGGCGGGCTGCCAGAGGAGACGGACGTCAAGACCTCCAGGTTCAGTGCCTCGTGTGGTATTCTTAGTTCTAGGATTTTGCACCGTTTCGTTTCGTGTGTCCGTACAGTACAAGTGATACCTCTGGAGTGGGCTCATGAGGCCACAGCAGTGCCTTCAAGGGGTGATGCAAGAGGACAACAAGAACAGGCAGCAGGACCAGCCCGCAGCTGGCTGCCAACTGCCAGTTGTGACGTTTCTCAAGCCCAGCCGCTCACACAGCTGACGGGTGTTGTACTCGAAGAGCCCAGCGAACCTCAACGAATCAATAAGAACAATTCTCAAATCTGTATACAGACTAATGGCATGGTGGTCCAACGTGTAGTGGGTGTGGTTTCGTATTCCGTGTGGTACGGTTTGACGGGTGGTAAAGCATGGCGTGGTGCGTGGAATGACAGGTACGCATACGGCACGCAGTGCTTTGCTACGTATGCCATGCTATGCCAGGTGTTGGGCGCCGAAGGAGATAGCCGTTCGGGGAACTCTTCTTGGCCAGGCGATTGACCCACTTGACCCGAGGATAGAACCACGGGGCCCCACTTCCTGGGGACCTGAAAACCAAAGGGGCATTGTTTTGGCCGGGGACAGGGTTAATCCCCGCACTCACATAAAACAGCACTATGTAGGCCAATGTGTGGTACTGGTGCTATACCTGGTGGATGACAGATAGGCGAGAAGTGCTGTATCCATACGCGCATACACACACCCAGGGGCGCAGCAAGCGACTTGTATCCTCAGCATATCCTGGCGAAACGATAACTATAACATTTGGAGGTCGGGTACCATTGGCAGGCAGTTTGTTGCCACATGTTGGCGTGTGCGGCGTGCGGGGACACTCGTTGAGGCACCGTTCGACACCCTCGTTTTGGTTCACCGGTGTGAAAGGAGCTACAGTGTAGCGCATTTTTTCTGCAGGCATCTGCGCTACATACAAAGTTGACTTGTCGCTGACTCTCCTCCCCGCTGCTATTTTGAGGGAGAGTCGACCTTCAGTTTGTTCGGTAAATGCAAGTTGTGTCCATTCTTATTTTGTTTCAGGGTTGGAGGAGGTAACCGTGGTGAAAGTGAGATGCGTGCGCTCTGACTGTTTGTCAAGCAGCAGGGCACTATTCTTCCTTGGGCGCCCCCTTCTTTGCTCCCACCGCTCACTCGCTCCCCTCCTCTCTGAACCCCGCTCAGAATAGCAGCTAGGCCTCAGAGGCGCACCTGTCCTCCTCACGCTACGGCTTTCCTAAGCAACTCGTTAGACGGTTGGTGTGCCCAATCGAAACCTCCACATATCCGCTGAGTACCCCCCCCCCCCCCCTCCCTCCCCGCCGCCTCTTGCACGAATTTGGTTCCTGGCACGACTATTCCTCACTCGGTCTCGATGAAAACATACGATGTTGCAGGGCGGCGATAGTTTCAGCCGCCCGAGGAGGGCTGGTGGAAGACGCCTTGGCGATAATGCGGAGCATGGAGAGCAGGGGTAAGATTTGCCGGCGAACTGAGAGCGGTGGCGGTGGGGGCTGGATGTGCTTGTTCGGGTGCTCTTGCTTGCAGTTTTTCGTTTGTCTTTGCGAGGATAAGGTGGTGCGTGCATTCGCTTGTGCGTTTGCGTTGGTGACGATGCCGGCGATGTCGTTTTTGTTGTCGCAGGTTTTATTCATTTTGTCGTTGATGAAAACCACACAGTAGTAGACAGACGCACATTGGCGTTACGGCCGACGCTAACCGTATTGCAAGGGGGGCAATTACCGTATTGGTGTTTTTTGTACCACGACCCTTGTGTTTTGTTGCCCTGATTGTGCTCGCGCGCGTGCGCGGGTTTTAACAGCGCGGCGTTCCTACGTGTGTTTTGTTGCAGGGTTCGAGCTGGGTGTGGTGGAGTACGGTGCGGCCATCGAGGCGTTCGAGAAGGCCGGGAAGCCAGAGAGGGGACTAGAGATGTTCGACGAAATGGTCAGTCGTCTCAATAGGCCTTCGTCGCGTGGGAAGGAGAAGGCGATGTTGGGACTGTCATTTTGTTTTGACGTTGTTGTTTGCTTCAGTTCGAAAGTCCCGCTGATCATACTTTCATCTTTCGTCAAGCCTGATCGTTTTTCAAGGGACACACAAGTTGGCATCTGTACACCTGTTTTGCTGTCATCTCCGTCGTAGTTTTCTGTTCCGCCAAGCATGGTTTGCGCATTGTGTATACCCCCTCTCCCGTTCGAGGTCATTGTTGAGCGAAGTCGATAGTTCGTGAGGTTGATCAAAGACGATCTTGCGAAAACCACCCCTTGTACGCGTGTTTCGTGTCCCGATTAGGTCGTGTGATATATTGTTCAAATGATAATTTTGGCTTCTTTTATTCTTCTGGACAACGAAACGCTCAAGTCGGTGGCGTTCATCGGCGCGCAAGAACGCCCACGTCATCATGATGGATTGATCGATTCTCGAATCTGTTTTCTTGTTGTACTCGCCGCACTATTGTTGAACCTCTCGCGATGCGCCCCTCCCCACTCCACTCCATACAGTCCCAATCTTCCATCCCCTCCCCCCCTTTACCCGGCCTCCGTCGCGATCCCCCCTGTGTGAATGGACCGACTGTTAACAATTTCATTCCGAAAAATGGCGGAAACACAAAATGACACCAATGCCTAGATCGCGGCGGGGGTTGAACCGGACGTGCTGTGCTACGCGGCCGCCACCCGCTGCTGCTGCCGTCGGTTGGACTGGGCGGGGGCGATATCGTTCGTGGAGACAACGCTGCGGGAGGGCCTGCTCCCCACGGGGAAGACCTTTGAGGTGCGTTGGTTTTGTTCGTGTTGCGTCTACGAGTAACCAGCGGCAGAGGAGGTGCTTTTGCGCATGACCTGGGCGCTTTCTTGCGGCCGTGGCCATGGGTGTGGCCTAGACGAGGGTAGAGGGACGGAGCAATGAAGCAACGATGTCGGCGTTGCTTGCGGTGGCTGTTTCCGGTGTTGGTTTTGGGAGGCGGGAGGTCGAGTCGAAGTGGTGGCACGAAAGAACGACGTAAAAGACCAGACCGTTGCCGTGATCTCTCGAGATAGACAGAGAGGAAGGAGCAAGAAAGATGAACGGGCACGGGGAGGGAAAGGAGGGGGAAGATGAAGTGGTCACTGGTGCTGCGTGCTGCGGTTTTGGTCGTCAGGGTTCAACCATGCTTTGTAAGTTTGTTTGGACAGCAGTTGTTCGGATGTCTTGAACCTTTAACTCTACGGGGTTTCATACGCATCAGTTATTTCGAAAGGGGTTGTCTGGTGAGACAGATTCCGGCGAAAATAAAACAACACATGAATCGATCAAGTTGGTCGGTGTACTACAGACCACCCGGGGTGGTCGTTGCGCGCTTGCCGTCTTCCTCGCACACGCTCTCTGCTGGAGAAATGTCTCTGCTTTGATCTGGCGGAGTAGGGTACGACCAGGCGGAGTTACAGCGACAGGATGTAAGGTGGGCAGACGCAGCACCAGCCTCAATCCAGACAATGGCGATGCCATCATCCTACTCATGATCTCTCTCTGCGCTTTTCCCCGGTAGCGTCCCTTTTCTCTTGCTCTATACACCTGCCCCATGACTGTCGCTCCCGACAAGGGCCAGCTTGCCTTGCCTTGCCTTGCCTTGCCTTGCCGTCTTGTTGTCGTTCTGCGGCCTATGGACCTGCTTCGAAACCACCGACCCACGTATCCACCCAGTCGGTCTATCGGCATTTGACCAAGCTACATAAGTTACCATTTACACTCGTGCTTGCTAATACCCCTTGATTCCCACAACCTTGACAACCCTAGTCCCCCCCCTCCCCCCCCCCCCCCCCCCCCGGGAGCCCCCCCCCGAAAAAAACCCCCCAAAAAAAAAAAAACAAGAGGG